ATTTGAGCAAAGAATGGAAACCGTCGGTAAGATTTAAATAAATTATTTGTTTTTATTTATTAATAATTTTTACTATTAATTCACTCAAACATACAGGAAGTCCATTAGATTTAGTGGAAGTAAAAATTGTGGACCCAGTTTCGGGTTATATCACTAAAATCGGAGAACAGGGTATTTATTACATGTTTTACTATTTTATTGGTTTTATTAATTAGAAGGAAATTTAGGAGAATTACTATCGCGTGGACACAATGTTATGATCGGTTACTGGAGGGATGAGATCAAAACCAAAGAGGCGTTAGACGAACATAAATGGTATAAATCGGGGTAAAGTTGAGATAAATAAAGACCCGCATAAAAGTATACTAAATAATGAATGAATTTGTTTTGCAGAGATTTGGCGACAATGGATGAGAAAGGATTTGTCAAAATAATCGGTCGAACAAAAGAAATGATAATAAGAGGCGGAGAAAACATATATCCGCGAGAAGTGGAGGAATTACTTCACACTCATCCAGAAGTGTTTGACGCCTATGTATGCATACAATACACAGCATATCATTGAGTGTTTAAAGCAAACAAATTATTTACTTATGTATTAAATAAATGTAAAGGTTGTGGGCGTTCCGGACGAGAGGACCGGCGAAGAAGTGTGCGCTTGGGTTCAGCTGAAGAATAAAGACTCCAAAATCACCGAAGAGGAGATTAGAAATTTTTGCAAAGATAATGTATTTATAGAAAATATAGCAATTATTGCAATCATAGCGTAATATTTAATCATAATCTGTGTTCAGATCTCATACTTCAAAGTCCCGCGTTATGTCCTTTTCGTCGATGGCTTTCCAATGACTCCGACGGGAAAAGCGAAGAAATTTATTATGAGAGACGAGTCGTGCATAAAGTTAGGCCTCAAAGAAAACAACAAGAAATGCCAACAATAAATCAATTGACGACTACTAATGAGAATATATTTTTATAAATGATTTTAATTTTTTTATATACAGTATATTTTACATACAAATATTTTTATATTTATAAACTTTTTATCGATATTTTGTAACAAATAACTGAATATTTAGTTGAAATGTGAGAAAAGTTATTTAATAACATAATTACTAATTACACTGTAATAATAATTTACGAATTAATTTTAATTTCATTTGTCGATTTTAATGTCAAAACTGTTTTAACTTTTAAACTATTTTAAGACAAAAATAAAATATTTAATTATTTGCCAAAACATAAGTTTCATTTCTTTCTCTTATAGAGCAATACTGAAAATGATTTTATTATATAATTTAGGAAATGTTTAATTAATATTCCCTAATTATTATAAAATATATACAAATTAAAGCAGTAGTAGAGTTGCCATATGTACCACTTTAAAACTGAATATAAATTTTTAAAAAGCATTACACAAGAATATTTATATAATTCTCAATATAATAAAACTTGAATTTTTAGTAATTAAATAACTAATGGTATCCTTTGCTAAAAATATAATAATAGGATATTTTAAAAGTAGTTTTTATAAAAGTATGAAAGACAAGGACTCCAGTGAAGCAAAAATAAGATTCAATGTTATATTAAGACAGACGTATACTCTATTAAAATGACAATTAATTTGACGTCAATCAGTGATTGACAATCACCTTAAGTGTTACAATTTTCATCATATTTCTACACATTATACTTTATACAATTGATAAAAATATTAATTTATTTAAATAAAAACTATCGGATTATCATCTAATGAATAACAAATGTTGTGAACATAATCTAAACCAAATGAGTCCAGGTTCAAAAAGGGGATATTTATTATATGACGTGGTCTATTGAATCACCAGGCTACTTTTTAAAGTATTCATTATGAACGTTACGCTTAATTTAGTCATAATTTGCCCCATTATTACTATAATAAATAATTTTATGTAAACATTAAAATAAATAAATACCACATTTATTTCAAATAAATACAATATTTATAATTTAATTAAAATTAAAATGAATTCAATAGAAAATTATAATGAATTTGTGAATGAATTGAAAGAGAAAGTGAGAGTTCTTGAGGAAAGAGAGAGAGCACTGGAATCGAGAGAGAGAGCTATTGAAGAGAGAGAAAGGGCTCTGAGTGAGAGAGAGAGTCAACTAAAGACCAACTATAAGAGAGACACAGAAGATGGAGAGAGAGATACCGATGAAGAGAGAGATACCGATGAAGAGAGAGATACCGATGAAGAGAGAGACACAGAAGAGGGAGAGAGAGAGACCGATGAAGAGAGAGACACAGAAGAAGGAGACAGAGAGGGAGAGAGAGAAGAGAGAAATACAAACAAACGATTGGCAAATATATCAGCAAAAAAATCGCCAAGGTATTTTAAGCCAAAATGGAATTTAGATTATTTTTTTATATACCAAGGTGGTGTTGGTATATGTCTAATTTGTAAAACAAATAATTATAAATTCGGTGAAATTAAATATATAACAAATAATAATTTATTGCAACATTATACAAAATTACATAATAATTATTTAAATACTCATGATTTAGAAATTCGCAAATCTAAATTTAATGATTTATTAAAATTTTATAACAATATAAACACAACACATAATAATAGTTATGATTTAGTTACTGATAATAATAATATTGGTAATATTATAGCAACAAATAATATTAATCATAAGCTAATTAGTTTTAAAATTGCAACATTAATAGCACAACATTTAAAACCGTTAAACAGTGGAATATTTGTTAAAAAATGTATGTTAATTATTTCTGACATAATGTATCCGGGTAATAATGTCATAAGAAATAATATAGAAAATTTAATTTTAAGTAGACAGACAATAAATAGAAAAATTAAATTAATTGCCACAAATATATTTACTCAATTAAAAGTCAAATTATCAAATGCAAAATATTTTTCTATATGTTTAGACGAAACCACTGATTTAATTGGTAAAAAATATATGGTAATTTTTATTAAATATATAGATGGTAATTTTAATTATTTTGAAGAGTTTTTTGATTTAATAGAAATTAAAGATACTTCTACAGCAATTAAATTATTTAATATTATTATACTATGCTTTAATAAATATAATTTAGATATAAAAAGGCTAGTGTCTATCACAACCGATGGTGCACCCAATTTATTAGGCAAACATAATGGGTTGGTTAAAATTTTAAAAACACATTTAAAAACTGAGTATAATAAAAATTTAGCAAATATTCATTGTTTTTTACACAAACATAACTTAATAATTAAAAAAATAGAATTTGATAATATAATTGATCATGTTATATCAGTTGTTAAATTTTTGAAATCTAAAGGTAACATACATAGACATTTTAAAAATTACCTATTAGATAAAAATTCTAACTATAATGATGTACTTTATTATACTCAAGTCAGGTGGCTATCACTTGGTAATTGCTTAAAACGATTTTTTTTGTTGTTAGATCATATAATAAACTATTATAAATTGATTGGTAAAAAAGATAATTTATTAAAAAATAAGTGTTTTCAATTAAAATTAGCTTTTTTAGTTGACATAACAAATGGCTTAAACAAAGTAAATATTAATTTACAGGGTAAGAATATGTTTATTATAGATATGCTTAGTTGTGTCGAAAAGTATTTACTAAATTTGAATAGTTTATTAATAGATGTAAATAATTCTAAATTTGATAATTTTTATCATGTCTTATTAATAATTAATAAATATAACATTAATGTAAATAAAACTACTGTTAAAAAATTCATTAAATTTATAAAAACTATTCAAAATAATTTTAAAAAAAGATTTAATGAATTAAATGTATTTGAAACTCAATTTAAATTGTTTTCAAATCCTTTTGAATTAATTAACAGTGAATCTGTTATAAAATATCACGATGAAATTATTAGTTTATTGCCATATAAATCAGAGTTTTTAAATATTACATCTAATTTTGATAAAATTAATTTTTATTGCAATTTACCAAATAATTCATCACATTCATTTAAGAAATTAAAAAATAATTGTTTAAAATTATGCACCTATTATGGCGGTCAATATATTTGTGAGCAGTTCTTTTCAAAATTAAAATTTAGAAAAGATCATGCCTATTCATTGAATACAAATACTCTATGTGATATTTTTAGAGTATCATGTAATGAGGTTTAAATGTGATTTAATTTAGTTACAAAAATGAAATACATTGTAATAACCATAATATTTGCTCTCTCTCTCTTTTTTTCATAGTTTTGAGCACAATAATGACTATTACAACTATTTGTTCATTTTAAAGCATTAGTTAAATACTATATGTTATGATTTTTTGACTAATTCATGGTTTTTGTTTAGTCTGCATATTACTATAATGTTAAATGACTCATTTTGCGGTTGCTCTATACATATAACATGAATGAATAAATTAAAAGTTTACAAATTTAACATTTAAAACTTCCTGAATTTAAAAATGTATATTATATTAAGTTAATAAAGATATTTTCTTGTGAACCAATTAAAATTTAATTATTGAATGAATATATAGTGCAATTTTAATTAGTATTATAAATAATAAGCCATTAGTATTAATGTAAAGTATTTACAATCATACTCATATAATGAGTTTACTTACGGTAATAATTTTATAAATTGTCACAAAAATTAAAACATTTAAACACTCAACATGTTAAAATAAAGTACTGTAAAATAAGTGTTATAATTAATAGTTAAAAACCAATACAAATAATATAAAACTTTATTAAAATGAGAAGTTACAGCAGAATCAGCATTGTTTAAGAAATTAACCGAATAATAGAAAGTTATTGTTTTAATTATTAAAACAGATTTATTAAAATACAATCACACTTTTTAATACATTTAATAAAATATCAGATTTATTGTTAAAATTGTAATTACTTTAACAATGATTGAAAAATAAATGCAATATTTCATACATGCAATGATTTGTGTGCTATTGAGTGACAAAATTAATATTTAGCGCTAATTGTTGGTAATTTATCATTCATAGATTGGTATAGTATTGTCGTGTATTGGCGTGAAAGCCGGTCTTATCGCTTGATTAGCTCTAAATACCTTTAATGACATACTATTTATAATTTTAACTTTTAATTGCAATCATTAATTTTGAATCAAGGATTCTCTCATTGACTTATTGTATCCATACATTGGTTTAGATCAAATGTGTCCAAAATTTACTTGAGAGTACTTATCATATCTAACCCTTGTGTTGTAATTTATATACTATTCATATGTTAGTCACATATAGTGTACTCAAATATAATAAATGGGGTTTTTATATATTATTATTAACCATATAAAACTTAAATATATTAATTGAATAAATAATTTTTAGTGAATAAATTTGAATTGCAATAATGTTTTAATGAATTGAGAGTATTTATTATGTAATAATTTTTATTTACAAATGATAATCATATCACGATAATTGAATTTTATTTAAATTAATCAGAGAGAGAGAGAGAGAGAGAGAAGAGAGAAATACAAACAAACGATTGGCAAATATATCAGCAAAAAAATCGCCAAGGTATTTTAAGCCAAAATGGAATTTAGATTATTTTTTTATATACCAAGGTGGTGTTGGTATAT